TGTTGAAGACAAATTATGTAAAGCTATATCCAAATACATTAACCAAGCCAGATAAAATCTTGGCCTTTTGAGACTGCAGATTAGTGAGTATATACACAGTGAATGCTCAAGATTTCTGTATTGTGCTGGCTTTGTTTCACAGGGTCAAAAGTTTTCTAATTTCAAAAGCAACTTAAAATTATTTTTTTTTTTTTGACTGAGGATGTCTCATTTTGATTTGAAATGTGGTTTTGAGCATTAATAGGTTTGTGTGAGATGTGGGGATTCTGTCGTGGTGTTCCTGGATTTTTACATGCTGTATTCTGATAAAAACAGCAGGCAGATTGTGTTTCTTTCTCTGCTGGAAAAGTCAGAAGATTTTTCTTGCTTACTTGGGAATTTGGGAAGAACCCCTTTGGGAGTTACAACATGGCTGTGTCGTCAGGAGTAAATCAGGTGTGTAACAGCTCTATCTAATGTTCCAAATTGCTAGGGCAGAAGCTGCTCTGTAGAGAGCTGAGTTTTGCTGTCATGAGGCTTAGTGATGTACTTCTGGAAGTGTTTCTTCAATGTGTTACTTGTTTTGAGTTTATGGACTACAAAAAGGAAAAAAATGAGTGCCAGCAATGCTGTATTCATTTTTGGAACATCTCTTATTTATGTGTAGGCTCACACTTCCAAGCTCAAAGCAACATCAGTGCTTGTGGGTACAACTTGCATATTGGGGTTTCTGGTTCTGCTGGGTACAAGGAAAACTGACTCAGTTGCTGATACAGCAACTTGCAGTGAGACAGACTGTGAAAGTAACTTTAGCTGCCCAAAACCAGCAAATTATTTTGCAAATTTATGTGGCCTACGTGTAAATATATTTATGTTTACTAACACAAGTGGATTCTATAAAACGTGCATGGAATTCGTTTACGCCTGTGACATGCCTGATACACACACATCTGATGGCTGGCTTGCTCAGTCTGGGAAAGTACTTGCTCATGATGTGTACAGCCCTCATCTGTCTCCTTGAGAACCTGTCCTGGGGCCTTTGTGTGTTTCCTACACTCAGTGAGTTCTGTTGGGTACATGTGGATGAGAGAGGAGTATTCTTGGTTATTTTTATTACTGTATGATGAACCAAAATTTAACTTGTTATTTTAAATAATACTTCCTCAGGTGCATGTATTGCCTCCCTGATAAAATACACACAAAAATACCTTTTGGCCAAATCAGCTGTCCAGGGAACAGATCACAAATGGAAGGATTTTTATTGTACTACCTTTTCCCCCCCCCCTCTATTTACTATCAAAACTGAACTTTCACATACTAGGTACTAGTGGCACTTTGAGCAAGACTTGCAGATTTTCATTGCTTTGGGGCTTCTGAAGGACAGGGCCCAATGCTGGCCCTGGCTTTCAGAAGCTTAGAAAGCTTAGAAACTTTCTCTAAAGATAAGCGAATCGGACAAAGGATACAAAACTACCCGAGGCTTCTGGCTAAGCGTGCAGACATCTCAGATAATTTGTTCTTTTTTTCTCCCCAAATCCTCAGTCATTCCCTTATCTCAAGAGAAGTTTTATTTCTGAAGGAGTTCTTTAAAATGACTCCCTTTAATCACAGAGTTGGAGAGAGGTTTGATGGAGCTTTTGATAGATATTCCTGTAAGGAAACAAAAATAATAGAGATTTGTTCCTTAGTACTGTAAATGACAGCAGATTCAGCAGCTGTTTACCATTCTCCTCTGTCATTGGCACTGCACTGATTAGGCATGGCACCAAAGTGTGGTAAAGCTCAAGTTTCCCTCTGAACTCCTTTATGTTCTGTAAGGGAGGGTGTCAGTATTGTAGGACTGGTGCTTTGTCACTGACATAATTGATACTGAAGTTGTTAGTATTCTATTTCCAGCTTAAGGATGCCTTTTAGTTGTCAGAATCCTTGCATTTCCTCCCTTCCTCAGAGATTCTGTACTGAGAACAAGAAATAAAATGGAAACTTGGGTATTAAACAGGCAGTGGAAAGAGTAGCATGCTTTTTACGTTCATCAAAAAAAGGATCTGTTGAAAGCCAAATCACTGACCTTTTCTCCCCATCCATCATGGGACTTTCAGGAAGAGCTGGACTCTGCTGCACAGTGAGCTTGCCTGGTGTGACGAAGTTCACAGAGTGTCCGCTGAGCACACGCAGGGCTCAGCTGAGCCCTGGGAACGGCTCAGGGTGTTAGGTCCTTTCTGATTAATCCACCCTTCACCTGTGTGCCTAGGTGTCACACTGCAGGCTGCGTGGGCTTTTTTAGGATTTTCTCCTGCCTGCTGAAGCCTGTACAGAGTATCCCCACAGTTGTGAGGCTCACAGAGGAATAAACAAGTTGCCTCTTTCTCCAACTGTAACAACGGTCTGCATGGAGAAATTAGGTTCAATCTAGGACTATGTTCATTGTGGAGGTCAGAGGGGAAGGTTGTGCTTAAACCAAACTCTTTTTCTACCTCTTCCCTAAAACCCTCCAGGGCTAGCATAACCAAAGCCCCCTGCTGCTACAACTGCTAGAGTCAACTCAGAGATGCCAAAGCAAGTCAGGAGGAGGGGAGGCTGGGGAGGAAAGAGGGGTAAGAGGGTGGTGTAGGTACCGTGCTGTCTTAGCCACTGTTGCCCATATAGGATCCATTAGGTTTCCAAACAGCAACTCAGAAGCATTTTGAGATGGTAGCGTGGGTTTCTGAGCCTTATGTGGCTCAGAAGAGGCAGATGTTCTGCAATGTATTGGTCTTTCAGGCTTAATGCGTGTGTTATATTGTTTGTCAGTTGGTTTGTCAGCTTTTCAGGCTTTGTGATTATTGGTTCCTCCAGTGAGGCCTATTTTATTTAGCATCCAGCATTTTAATTGCGCATAAACCTCTGCAGCTCCTACAGAAGGCATCTCTGAAGAAGCTTTAAGATGTCATAATATTTGAAAGAGGAAAATGTGCTTTTTTTGCTAGCACCTGTAATTTAGGTAGCAAAATAATTGGGTAGGAAGCATCTCTTATCTCTTGTTGAATCTGATATGAAAGACAGTTACAGCTTTTCAAACCTGGCTAAAACTATGAATTATCCTACAGTATTGGGATGGATCTAATTTAGGCAGCTGTCAGACAGAAATATTTTAGATTCTGTATATTAGTAACACTTGCAGAGAGGCTGTGGCTGTTTCCAAAGACCTTTTTTGTTGCATGAATTGAGGGGAACTCACTTAGCACAGTAACTACTGTGGAGATGTTTGAACAAATAAGTTGCTTGCGTGAAATAATTATTCATAATAGAGAGAAGGAGCAGTTTGGGTAGACTTTAATCATTCTCACAGCATCCTTGTGACAGGCATATCAGAAACTCTAGGAGATCTGTTACTTTAAGTGTTAGTATACTGCTCAAGTTACTGTAAGAATTATTCCTTACCGTTTCAGGAGCACTGGGGATATGGGTGTGCAAGCTTTATTTTACCTTATTTTCTGTGTGAAGGACACGTTCAAAAATCTAGGAAGAGCCTTTAGTAACCATATTACATCAGTGTTAACCAACAAAAGGTGTAAGGACCTTCTACAACACAAATCACAATTAGAACTTAAGTATCAGTTGAGCTATAATTCTGACTAGTATTTATCATGTCTTTCGATATGGTACAAATCCTTTCTATTTAGCCTGGTTCTCAGCCCAGGGCTTTCACGTTCTGTTTAGTGTTCATTTTACTTGGTTTGACGCTCACCCATTGCATTTTGCATGAGCTTGTTACTCTGCTTTGCCTGAGCTGAAGTGCTCCACCTGATGGAGAAAACGAGAAAATGCTCTCTCTCATGCAACGAAGATTTAGTTGAAAAAATGTAATCTAGTGGAAGCATTTAATGCTGTAAGGGTGTGTGCCTTAATCCAGGAGACCTACTAATGATGTTCTGCCCCCTGTATACTTGGATGTAGAGCAGTTAAGGTTATGTAAAGGAGTTGCACAAAGACCTTGAATCCACAGTTTTCTTTCATGTTTCTAGTGAGATACCCGGTGCCTGAGTACTTGTACTGTAGACGTGCTTCTCAAAGTCCAGATGCTGCCAGAGCCTGAGATGCAGCTGTGCTTTGCAAAACATGCATATCTGAGAGGAGTTGTTCCTGCTCTTGCACAAAAAGGAGCGTGACTGCTCGGTAGCTGTTGATTTGGTCGTATTCTTACTACCCAATGTGGAGATACATAATGGTTGGGTATATTGGTAGAAGAGCTTGCCCATATGGTATTTTCTATCTTGAATCCATTAATTGCACAGAAAAGAAGGTAAAAAATAAAGAACTCTGAAAGAAATAACCTGCTTACAAGACAAGATTTAAAAGGCTCTCTTGTGGCATTGAAAGAGAAATAATCACATAAATCTTGTGCAAGCAGCAAAGAAACAGGAAATGTAACAGAGCTGCACATTCCCAAGTCTTAGTTTGCCCAGCTTTTTGCAATGCAAGAGTCTGTAGATGCATGCTACAATAAATTTGTCTCTGGCACCTTTCTTATTGACCTAAGATATTAGAGTATTTTCCGTGTGGTAGCAAGGTCTATTGTCTGTGGACAGTCACGTCTTCAGCCAGGAAAGCAAAAGATTTGATATCTTGAGTTGATGTGGCTGGGACAAAGGATGGATCCTGTATGGAAGGATGCTTATATCTAACAGCACATGCAAGGAACATGATTTATAATATTTGAATAACTTAAGGCCAGGATTTTCCATTTTACTGAGAAGGTAATGTGAGATCTGACCACCTGAGCACAAGCTAATATGATCAGCCTGCAAAAGCTATTCATGTAAGGTCATGGTGCACCAACCAAAAATCTCTGCAAATTAGGCAAGTTGCTCTAATTCATACTGTGAAACTTTGAGAAATCTCCTTGTTGTATTCAATTTTCATAGCCTCTTATCAAAAATTGCAAATTTTAAGCTATTCTGGTAGTTTTGTCCTTCACTTGTATTAACCAAAATGGTGTGTACAGACCTTGTTTTTTTCTTTTTCTTTTCTTTCTCTCTCAGACACCCTGGCTCTGGAATACCAGACAGTGCTGGAATGGTTATCCATATCAGGTAAAAGTTACAGTGCTGCCTAAAAACAAATATGACACCTCTGCAGAGCTCTGTTTTTATTATAGTGGAGCTTTGTTCAGTATGTTAGTGTGAACGGGCTACTCGGCATTTCAAAATATTGCTAGATGCTTCCCATCTTACTTGAGTTCAAGATGGGAAAGATAACTATAGCTGTCACACCTGTTTTGAAATGAAACACAGGATCTGAAAACAGATCTGCACAATCTAACTGTGAAAGCAGATTTCTGCAATGGTGGTAGAATGGTCATTTTTTACAAAGTTCTGAGGATACTCAAATTCAGCAGGCTGGGAAAAGCCAATATATATATAGGCAAGTTCTCATAGTTGTTATACCGCATATAGGGTGAGACTTAATCTCTGGCAGCAGGTGTGATCAAAGAGGAGACTGAAGAGAGAAGGTAGGTTTCGCCTTTAGGTACCTAGTTAGGGGCTGTCCAGTCCTGGCCTCATGGAAGCTTACAAAGAAAGAAGGTAAAATAAGTGGGAGAATTGGGAATGGTTTGAAGTCTTTATTTTCAGCACTGTCTGCATTTTCACGGTTTGAAAAAGCATCAGTCTTTCTCTCTGTTCTAGGTCAAAGTATGTAACTTAACTTCAAAGAAAGAACATGAGTCATTCATCTCCTTTACTAAGGAGAAAAATGCCACTTTTAAAAGTAAAAATGCTCTTTCAGGTGGTGTCCTGCTGCACTCATTTCAGTCCTCCAAAAAATTTTGCTCAAGTTTGAAATTTGGTTTTCTTAAAACAATCTTTAAAAGGACAATCTTATTGGACATAGTTGTTAAAGTTTGGGTTGTATTTAAACAGAGCAGTCAACTTGCTCTAAAGAATTCCATGTATTTTTCAGAAAAGGTAACTCCTGAACTCTGCCATGGCATTTTGCCTCCTGGTCTAATAGAAGTAACTTCCAACATGGATGTTATGAGGATCAGTAAACTAATTAAAGGAACCCTTTTATTATTATTAATAATAACAGTAAGGTAGCCCTTTCGAGGAAGAAGTATCATCATGTACGTGGGCTAGGAATGGGCTTTGGAAGCCCCTTGGAAAAGCTAAGAGCCACCTGTTTCCTTAATACGCTTTGTATAACAGGAAACAACAAGAGATTAAAGTTGTGAAGTATAATTTTTCCTTGTGTTATAAATCAGAGGTAACAAGTGCTTCAGTTGTGACCTAGTAAGATGCTCTTCGAAATTCTTAATAGCTTTTGAGGATAGCTTTTGATAGCTTTTCAAATTAGTCTGAATTCTAATTCTAAACCTGAGCTTCTTTAAAATGCTTTTTTTTTTTTTTTTTAATTTAGCATCCAGGAGTCTCATATAGACATCATTGAGACATTGTACTACCTGTTATTAAAATATGATTGACATTGAATTCCAAAAGCTCCAGCAAAGATCTTTGCAATTTAAGAGTCTGACCTATCTAGGGCATACTGCTTTTTTTTTGTTTTTTTATTCCTAAAGGGCAGAGAGGGAAAAAAAAACACCCTCATTGCCAGACTGGAAAGTATGAAGAAGGGTATTATCTGAAAGACACATGAATTCCCTGTGACAGTGTACAGCCCTGGACAGGCTGAACAGGTGAACTGTGTTCAGGTTTGGGTGCTACTATTCTTGAAGGTTATGTACCTGTTGGAAATAGTTCAGTGGAGATAGTTCAGCAAGAATGACTAAAAATCTTGATCTGAGAAAGGTTGAAGGAATTTGGTCATTTTAGCCTGAGAAGAAATAATGACTTAAATTCCACTCAAGGACTGGAGTGTGAATTGAGTAACATTAGGGAAGCGGCAGAAGAAATTGAATGGGGGAAGTGTCAAATCTTCATCCCTGAGAGATTTTAAGAACAATCATTTGTCAAAATTGATATGGCTGCAGTCACTAGTGCCTTTCAGTCCTGTTTTCTGCTATTTTTGTGTTACTACATGTAAGAAGAGATTTACTTACGACATAATACCGTGAATCTTAGTGATTAAGGAACATATGTTTACCAGACTTGTCAGAAGAAAAAGATCACTCAGAAAGTTTTTGGAGGGTGGCAACTGAACTTACTATCTCTAAAATCATGCTACTAGTGGGGAGGGTCCAACAGAAAGCAAATCATCAAATAAAAGTCATTATCAAAATAATTGTCTCAGAGCTAAAAGCATCTACTGGGTCCTAATCAGGATTAAGTACTGGGTTTTCAATTTCCTTTTGTTTATTTGAGATTTTATTAACTAGATAAAATTTCTAATCTCTTGTTTGCTACAAATCCTTTGTAAGTTACTCAACACAGCATTGCAGAAATCCAGCCGGACTTACTGTAGATACAGTCAAATGGATCATTTGGGTGACAGCTCTGCCCATAAGCACAGAATAGTCCTATTGAAGTTAAGTCTATGGAGAAGTGAAACCTAACATTTAAACTAAGTAAAACAGATACTATTGATCCATTCATGGAAGGAAACCATGATGTGTTTACAGTCCCCTTATGTTATCAGTATACATGGGTTTAGAAATACTAATGCTATTGTTAAGAAAGCAGCTGACAATCTTAGTTGTTTTACTAGACATTTTCCCCAGTGAGTTCTCTTGCAATAATGAGTATAATAGTTGTGGTTCACTGCTAGCTCATGTTCTCTTCCCTTTTTTTAATTACACCTATTTAAAAGCTTACTGGCAGTCTCACTAAATCAGAAAAGTATTATATTAGCAAAAAAAAAGGCTTTAAAGGATTGATTTTGAGTGTATATGTTTTTCATAAAGCATAAGCATATGTCTGTATGTAAATAACCCACATAGAGCATTAAGTGGGCACCTAAGGACTGTTTTTCAGCTGCAAAGATCTGGTCTGCTAAAAGGAATGGGAATAAAAGAGGCAATTGAAATGCTTCTTGCCAGTGGAAATAGCTCGTGCCTTGCTTGGGTGCATGATTGTGCCAGTGCAAACTGCTCTGGAGATGGTTCATCTGATGTCTCAGGAGATGCCCTTAGGAGCTTCTCCTGTGCCAGTGCCCCTCTCTATCACTGCGATGGAAGACATGACTAGCAGGGAGACACAATCGCATGGAAATTAGGGTAGCTTCTAGGTCTGGCTCTCTTAGGCTGGGGGCTAAACAGCCTATATGTGCCACCAGTTATCTTCTCCGAAGTTACCCCAGGTTGGTTTTGGTTGTGCATAAGTTCCTGTGTCTCTTTATTTTAATTTCTTTTACTTTTAAATATCTGTGTAACCATGTCATGTATAAAACAATGTGCCTGGATAAATTTATTTTGTTTTGTTCTTTCAAAATGTTAACAGGTTCCCAGAAAGTGGTTAAATTCTTTTAAAGTAGGCTTTTATATTAGAAAGAGCCCTGTTTAAAGCTCATGTTTTCATCATGAGCAGATGAGATTATATACTAGCATTACGTTTCACTGATCTGCTTTAGCATTGTTTCTTTTGTTGTGCTTTAAACCTACATTACTGATTTACAGCAAGATGTTTCACGTAATCTTTCAAAACAGACTTAGGACCACTCAGCATTTAGTTTGTTCTAGGTTCCCAACAGTCAACTTCATAATTTTTTGGTAATACAATATTACAGTACTGTCAAGATTAAAACCTAAGAGGAGGGTAGGTTTGGAAGAGGCAACCATCATCATTTTTCTTACACAGGATGCTTATGTATAATTCCGTAATCCCTCTGTGATTAAACATGTCTCCTATAGACCTCAGCTGCCTGTAATGTCAGTTAGACTGTTAACTTTTCCTCATTTCCATCTTTCAGCCACTGATGCCTGACCTTCATTATTACTACATAGTTGAATTGTCATTCTACTGGTCCTTAATGTTTTCTCAATTCATTGACATCAAAAGAAAGGTAAGAACAATGAGACTAAAAACATTGAAAGCTTTAAGCACGTCTCTTTCTTGACTTGAGAAATACCTGTATTACCTGTGCAGTGAACTGGAAATACAGTGCTTTCTAGTCACCACCTCTTGCAGATACTCGTCACTGAGAAACTGGTGTTGAAGTGCTTGTCTCACTCTGTTCCTTGTTACTATGATGTGGGTTTTTTCTGCGCATGGGAAGAGGAGCCTGGAGTAATCAAATACTGAAGGGGAAATACCATCAGCCAAAAAAACCTTCTGCTCCCATACAGTGACTTGAATGGAATTGAACACGTAGTAGCTAATAGATGTACTGTTTCTTCGAAGAGTTAAATGGTGAAGTATCAATGACAGAACAAGACTGCCTCGTAAATTCACAGTATCACTTTGCTAAGATCTATGAGGGCTTTGAATTTATTCTACAAAGGAATGGTACAAACAGGGATACATTTAATATTAAAAAGTGATGTTACATTTAATCTTATCCTTTACTGTTATGAAATTTCAAGTAGCTGAGCATTGCTTTTAAGGGGCTGTTAATCAAGCAAATAAAACTCTGGCCAGATTTTTCCAGGATCAGTAGCAACCTGTTCCATATTCCTTCATCCAAGTTCTCTCCTCCAAGGAGAGTGACAGTCCATAGCAGAAGAGGCAGCATGACAGTCATTCTGTAGTAACAATCCATTGAGCTATTCTTGCAGGTGTTTTTAATGTTGTAAAATTATTTGCTTAAAATATTTGGAAGGATTTAATAATATTTTTATGCGCCTCCTTCTACTGTCATTTAATTAAATGATTGTAGGCTATGCTAATGGAAAACCAGTTTTACCAGAATTAGTAAAAAATTAGTTTACTAGAATTTTAGCAGGAGCATAACTCTGAGAAGAGTAAATGAAGGATTTGGTATGTTCTGAATAAATTTATGTGCTATTTGGAACCACAGTGTGCTCCTGGGAGTCTTGTGTCAGAGCTATGTGTATCTATTTGAATTTCTAAATTTTTCCAGAGGTAGAAATCTCAAGAAAGCATCCACAAATTTTAAATCCATATTGGAGGGTAAATTGTAAACAAAACAACCAATTTAGGATGAATAGACATAAATCCCTTGCTTGCATTGTCTGTAGATGCTAAGCATCTGTTAATCATGAGCTTGAAATAAGTACAACTTCACTGTTTCAAAAAACAAAGATGCAGAAAAACGGTGCTCAACAGAGTTGTATGATAGTGGAGATGAATTTAAATCGAGAGTGACATTGACTAATGGACGTGAGCTGCAGATGCCAGCAATAGTGAATAGCCATTTGTCAGTATATGAACAAACCCCAAACCTCTGCTGCAATGTTACGGAATTGTTCAGGTTATTGCTGCAGTGATATATTGTGTCTAATCCGTTCCCCTGCATTCATACTCAGCCCTCTGCACTGTGCCTTTTGGTTATATTTTATTTTCTTTGTGTTCCTCTTCAGGGAGAGGAAAATCTAACACCATTGCAATTGCAACAGTACTGCAGTTTTGTAGTACTATATATCTTTAAAGAATATTTAATTGATTCCTGACTAGTTTTTTTGCTTATGTGAAAAGTGACTGGAGGCTACCTGAACAGCATCTGGGTTCAGCGCTGAAGTATACTTCTGAAAAGGGCCATTGGGAGGGTCAGTAACACCTTTCTCGTTTACTACATCCTGTGAGCTAGCAGGGCTCATTCACAGGGCTTTA